TGTATTTGTATTTGACGGAACATCTTTGCGATGTCCGCCGTGTAAACGTAGCACCACTGGCGCCATCGTAACAGGACAGCAGGAAGATCCTGTTGTAATTTCGGTCCGATCAACAAATGATCGTTCAATGAAGAGCCGTTTCGTGTTTTGCACGATGCATTGAACACGACTCTTAATTTAGTAGTGCAGCTAGCTTCGTGTAAGACAGGATGATGCGGTATGTAAACCGGAATAAAATCGGTCCTGTCCGTGCTAGCAACAGATATGTGCCCGAGAGAGCGATATTCACCGAGAAAATCGCGATATTGAGAACGAATCTCGGCACGAGATTGCAGTCTTTTTTCAAGTTTATTGTAACACGAAAGAGCAATAGACAATGAGTCTCCGATATCGATCGGCGGAGTATATTTAAATGGTAATCTAACTACATATCGTCCATCTTGGGAGCGACTATGAGTGTCATCGAAATGATGTTCGCATCTCTCTTCCTCCTCGATGAGAGGGGGCGACAGAGAGATCTCCTCATCCTCCCAGAATCTCTGGAGCAACGAGTTAACATCTTGCGTAAGAACGCAATTTAATACAGAAGCTTCTTCAGAAGCTAATTCTCGATTCCCGGTAGGACCGGACAGGATCCAACCGAGAACGGTTGATTGTGCGGTCGGCGTACTGTGCGGACCTTGACGCACATCGTTCTTCAAGAGAGAACCATAAATGTCGGCACCGATCAACATATGAATGCGGTGATGACTAGAAGGATCAGGATCGGCAAGAGACAATCCTCGCAGATGAAGCCACGACTCGACAGACTGAATTCGCGATGCAGCGTAAGAAGTAATGCGTTGAAAGACGTAGGCTGTCACGGGAAACGCAGGTTTAGACAGCGCGCACGGCGTTAAAGTCAAGGGTACGCGTGATTTTGCCGAACCCGTAAACCGTTTACCGAAACACTTGATCTGTAGATCGGCTCGCTAACGCTTTGTACGCAGCGCTTGACAAAGGGACTCACAAAGACACGAAGCTGAATGTTGATCCCTGATCTAACATCGCACGAACTTTAAAGCATCGGCCTTCAGAAGTGTGAAGGTCGATCCACGCAGTAGCCAACAGAATATTAGGCATCGCCTTATATACAGGGTGTTTCATTTTAATCTAGCCAGGCAAATATTTCAAACGCTGTTGAGTTTAGAGAAAAATGTTTCAGACAACAGTTGTAGGGTTTAGAGGGGGACACAAGATGGTGGGCTTGAGTTTTTGATGACAGTAAAATTGAAGGTCATATAAAGGTCAACTTTGTGTTTTTAAATAAAATGTAGTATTTTTTATTAGATATTCTAAAAGAACATAAAATTTTGCATTAAAATTGTCTGACACGTTTTTCATAAAAATCCATAATTTTTGAGGACATTTAGCAATTAAAGAAAAAATGTTTGTTTTTCGTAAAGAGAATCATGCATTAATTTGTACATGTTCATGAACATTTTTCGTTCTTAGAGTTACCCGGAATCAACGGCGTGGACGTGACGAAAATCTGATTCTATCGGGGTGCTTGATTTACGTGAGTCCCCTTGCCTCTCACTTTCGGGGTTGCTAAATTTGCTAAATTTCCTCAAAAATTATGAATTTTCATAAAAAACGCGTCAGACAATTTTAATGCAGAATTTTATGTTCTTTCAGAATATGCAATGAAAAATACTACATTTCATTTAAAAAAACAAAGTTGACCTTCATATGACCTTCAATTTTACCTTCATCAAAAACTCAAGCCCACCATCTTGTGTGCCCCTCCAAACTCTACAACTTTTGTCTGAAACATTTTTCTCTAAACTCAACAGCGTTTGAAATATTCGCCTTGCTAGATTAAAATAAAACACCTTGTATACTATATAATAGTAATCAATGTTGATTAAATTTTTTCTTTATATCAATATATTTGCATAAATATTTAGAATACTAAAAATAATTTAGTAGAATATTCAGTGAATGTTCTTTACATGGTATTAAACATCTTCTCTGAATATTCCTGGAATACAATAAAGAATATTTTTTCTAACCTATCTAGAATATTAAAATTGGTCTCATTAGAACGTTCTATGAAGATTTAAAGAACATCTTTTAATACATTAAAAGAATATTCTAATATTTGTAACAAATATTTATAGATTGTTTATAGAATGTGTTTGTGTTATTTGGGGTATGTCAGACTACATCTATAAATAATAGATGTATATATATTAGTAGTATTTAATAGTAAAATGTGGTATAATAGGGCTACAGGCGAAGGTCCACGTTAAAAAACCTAACGCGCTATTAGTGGCACCTCATAGGTAGTGTGGAAGACCACTTCCATAATTAATAATTATTTAACAAAATAAATGATAGACAGATTGATAGATAGATAGAAAATAGATAGAATTATTGTGAAAATATTTCACATTAAAGTATTAAAAAACTCATAATCAGTAAGAAAGTTTTGTGACGAAAGTAATCGAAAAATGCGTGAGACTTCATTTCCGAGAAACGAAAAAACGCTTTATTGTCAGCTTATTCGGCTAATTGCGCTGTTAACTGCATGTTGATCGCGACGCATGAGAATTTTTACCTTTTTGACACATTTACAAATACTTCATAAAACGACATATAACATTAATATGAATTTAATACTTAAAGCTTATCTATAAAATGTAATTTTTGAGTTAATTTATAAAATAAAAATTAGTAAATTAATAATATACATTATATATATATAATGTTCTTTAATATTATAAAAGCTTATTTTTATCGCCATAACTCTTATTAATAATTTATACTCCTATTATTATACTCCTATATTAATAATTCAAATGTTGATTGTAACGAAATTTTATTTATATCAATATAATATTATTTTTACAAAGCTGTAAATGCAAGCTCGAAAAAACATTTCACGTTGCCATACGCAACAAGCGCGCAACGTTGCTTTTTAGCCGGCTTGGTCGAGCGCACACGGACGCGTGACGTCAGCGGTCTCACTTGTGTGGGTATCCCCTCCACTACGGTACCCATGGTACCAGCGAGCTCGAATTGGCATCACTGCTCTGCGATCTGTCTGTACATCGAACTCATTCGCGCTAGCGTTACAAGTCTTTTGTCGCGTTACATTCGCGTTGCACGTCCGTGCTCGCCGCTCTCTCGTCTCGGTCTCTGGCTGTGCATGCAGCTACTGGCACGTAGTCGACGCTAGCCGCCGAAAAGCTGCCTATCAGCGATCGATACCGCGAGCTTGGTAACAAGCTGCCAATCGCATTAGGCGTTAGAAAAATATGACAACTTGTTTTCCGGCGATTTCTTATACGGACGCGAACTGACCGCTTGAAGACCGCTTCGCTCGGAATAAACAAACAGCGACGAAATAAAGGCCAACGATTCTCGAAGCTTCGAACGAACGAATTCTCGCTTTGTTATTAGTAATCCTGAACAGATCTGAATAAGTGTTTTCTTGTTGGGTCTACAAAACTTCTTGTTATATTTACATAAATCGCAGCGCTCTGCAACAGTTTCGTCATCACTCACTAAACGGTTGATCAACTGTTCGCCGCATTTATTTGTTACACTGCTACTGCGCCCTCGCTACTCGC